AAAAAAAAAATGAATGACTACTTTGTTATAGTTAAAAAAAAAAAAAAAAAAAAAAAAACCAGCCCGCTCAGACTTTAGAAAGGTGCATATTTGTGCTGTCTGCAGAATCCTCTGAGAGTCTGGGAGTTGGTATCTCTGGATCTTCAAATATACCCGGCTCTCCTCTTAGGAGCGGCCGTCCCTGTGAGTAAAACACTTAACGTTTCCCAAACTCTTTCTCCCGTAGATGCACCTGGCAGAAGCAGTTCTGTGCATCCTGTGTGGTACCTGTTGGGCAAAGCTCAATCCTGGATGTTGTAGGTCACTAGGATGATCAGATAATATGTGTCCTGATGCTCTCAGCTTCATTTTCCTTCTAAGCTTTCTAATATTTAAATTTATGCAAAATGGATCATGTAGCCCATAATATTCTTGCTGTGAGACCATTGGGGCAAATCCTTTATAGCCATTAATACTAATGAGCTGCAGAATTGAATAATATTGCTGACAATTACAAAACGGAGAAAGGGGCAATGTTTACCACTGTAAAACCCGGGTATGTGCTAAATGCATTGGTATGTGTGTGAATTAGGTATTTGGTGTGCAGGGTTTTTGTTTGATTGTATTTTTCTTTCCGTTGAGGTGGTATCTGGATGACTAAGGGCAAATACTTGGCCCTCGGTTGCCAGGCTGCAGCTGTCGAATGGAGCGGGTCGAATGGGATGAAGAGAGAAGCGGTGGCGTTTCCTTCCTAGGGAAGGAACAGGGTCTTGAGCTAAGGAGGGAATCCCTTGTTTCTTGCTTCCCAAAGTGCAGGGAAAGCAGCTTGTGTTTCCCATGGCACYTCCCTGGAGCTGCCAGAAGCAGCAGCATCCTCTTTTTAACTTACTGAGGACTACAGGGTGATAGGGTGAAGGCAAATGCAAGAAAGCTGAAGCAATGATTCGATGCATGTTCTAATGCGCCGTTGTAGAGGACTGAATGTTGTGTGCGCAGCTATTCTGCAGAAAGGGTTTGATTAAGCTATCCGAACATGAAACTTTTGTGAGTTTTGGARGAAGTCCCAGTGGTTCTTGGGAAATGAATTGGAGGATGTGGCTGTAATTTAGCAAGTCTGCTAACAAAACCATGAACTGTCTGTGCAGTGAAAAGTGTGTAAACATATTACTGATCTGTGTTAGTAAATTTTGAACCTTCTCTTGCTATTTAGGACTAACACTTTGCAGTCACAAAAACAGCTCTGGAGAGGGGCAGGTATACCCCTATGTGAGGTAAGATGAATAATCACAGCGAATGTCAGGTGACTTGCTTGATGGGACAAGTCTAAGGCATGATATTCAAAAAAATAGACTACCAAGGCGCTTTTTCCATCTCAAACTTCCAGATCCTAACAGTGAAAAAAGTAACTGTGTGTGGAAAACAGAAGGGAAGGTTGCCTCCAACCTGAGCTGTGCAAGGAGTGTCACATCACTGAGCGTGAAAGTATTTGAGGACTTGAACTACGGGCCAGTGAGAGTGGTTTTGGTTCAGCAAGCGCTGAAATTAGAAGCTAGCGCAGAAGAACTGTGTCCCAGCCGCCCCCTGAGCCTCGCTCGGTCAGTCCTTGTGCAACTGTGCTGCTTGGGAGGATGCTCTGTGTGTGTGTGTGTGTGTCTCTGTGTGTGTGTGTGTGTGTGTGTGTGTGTCTCTGTGTGTGTGTGTGTCTCTGTGTGTGTGTGTGTCTCTGTGTGTGTGTCTGTGTGCAGCCAGGTTGGGTGTAGGTGTGCTGTCACGTTAAAAACTTGGTGCCATTTTTCAAATGCAAGAACAACTGCAATACCTAACTCAAATCCTCCTGGGAATGCTTTCGTGTTATGAATCAGAAGAAGGGGCATCTGGGCGATCCCATAAAAATACTCGACGGGAGGCAAAGCTGCTGTGTTTAATTAGAGGCTTTGGTCTGCAGGCTGCAAAATAATCCTAGCGTCTGAGCTGCTGGGAAGCACGTCCGCTCGGATCTCCGCAGGCAACGTCCTGCGGTGCAATGTGCGTGGACATCTTTATTTTTCCTGATCTYCAAAATAACACTCTTAAAAGCTGATGCTGAATGCAAAACATGTGTCTTCCATTCAGAATTAGAACGGATTCAAGTAATTTAAGGTCAGGCAAACCAGGCTATTGCAGTCCTTTGGCTGTCGCGGTGCTGGCTAGTGCATGTTAATGCTATGGGGCAGGCCTGGAAAGCCCGGACGGTGGCGCCTTCGTCCTGCTATTGGAACGGGAAAACTCTACAGATGCTTTCCTGGAGAGTCAGAGTGATGAGAAAACCTTATTTATTTATTTATTTATTATTTTTTAYTTTTTATTTCACAACTTTTGCTTTCCACATCACAACTATTTATTTCATTTTTATTTAGAGAATGTAAACAAAACAAAAGAMGCCCCCTGCAAGCTTTTTTTTGCCGAAACCCCTGGCAGTGATTCAAGAACAAGCGAACTTGCTGAAGTTGCTGCAGCCTCAGCTACTTGGAAAAGGGAGGTACTCATTTCTTCAGCACAGACCTCCTCCCGCTAAGCTGCTAGGCTCATGCAGATCTAATAACTTTTTATTTACTGAAGACTTACTTGGCTTTTTGTTTTTCATTTAGGAATTTAGTCCTCTCTAGAAGAGCAGAAGCAGTATAAAGTGCTGTTCTGTTTCTCTRATATTCTGTGCTCTTATTACATTGACTTTGCCAAAGTACATCATTATACTAATGTAAGGCAAATGACTGCTGTTGGCAGTCGTGTCTAACATTGAGCAGATAACATTCTTAAATATTAAGTCTTAATCTSTCTTTCCTTAAACTGCCATCTACTTAATGATTAAAAACAATGCGCTCGGTTTCACAGCGCTGTCACCATTACTCCTTTGATTTAAAAGCGGGGCTCCTCCTGGGGTCCGTGGCAGGCTTGGTGCGCACGTGGAGCAGCTCCTGGGCAGGGAAGCAGCTGGTGCTTCCCGCTAGGTGGGGGTGTGCGTCCGCTCTACGCTGCTTGGGACGGATCCCAGATGTGGGTTCTGGAGAGGCAAATTAACASGTTTAGGTGCTCTCACTGCATGCGACGAGGACTGCGTTTGGGCAGTTGCTTTCACACCCTCAGTGTCAGCTAATGGACTGCCCCAAGTCCCATCGTGGCCTTCCCAGGGGCTTCTGTGGTACCACTGAAGCAACGATCTCTTGCCCTGCACCTCTTTTAAGCATCACTCCGGCCTAGTGAACRTGTCTCTGGGGCATCCGGATCACAGCTTCCACATGGGAAGTGCTGGCATTAAGGCGTTGTGAAATGGCTGGCAGTCCTGTAGTTACGGGTTCTTGTTTCACATATGTTTTGCAGGGAAAAACAATTGAGTACTGATATAAAGGTATCCATAAAACGCTGGAGAAACATGAGGTGTTGGTAGGCAGATTGGGGGCTCTCAGAATCTTGCTCCTCTGGGGTGTTTAGCCATGCAAGAGGAGGTAGGTAACTTGGCAAATCTGAGGCCTAGCTTCAGCTAGACTCATTTCTCACTACTTTTTGTTGTTTTCCTACCTTTTTCTGCTGAATAGCCAAGCCTGCCTCCTTAGCTTCTCTCTACATCCACGGAGTGCTTCATCCAGGTTCCTTATGGATAGCTCCTTCGTAGTTATCTTGGAAGTGCCTTTATGTCTTGTAGCTGTGCTGATTCCCATTTGTTGCTTCCATAGTGCATGTAAACATTAACTATGTCCATGGTTTCCAACAAACAAAAAAGATCTTAAAGGTTTGTCCCTTACACAGTTGGTAAAAGAGCTGTGGTTCTAAATAGTCCCATCCAGAAGCACGGAGCATTGGAGCTGTGCTGTTTTTATCAGTGACTTCTGCAACTCTGGCAGAATTAGGA